TCCGGAAGCACTCCACAGGCACCGTGCAGACCCTGGTGAAGTGATCGGCCGATCCCAATCGTGAACGCAGACTCTAAGAGGATGACTCCTTTGATGTCTGCGGCAAAGCACGTGCTGTGATTAAGAAGCTTCAAGTGCACTGATTTGCTGCTGCCTCTGCAGCACGGTCTGTAGGTTTTTCAAACAGTGATAGAAGGTCCACTGTTTTCCAAGGAGGACAGAGGGAAGGACGGGGTTGTGAGGGTCCTGATTTACATCACACACACGGACCATTAACAGAGATTTAATGTCTTTAATTGTAGCTCTTGGAGACGGTATTTTGCAAAGGAATAGAGGATTCTTCGCTCTACGTAACTCTCCTGTCTTCTTTAAAAAATCAGTGACATCTCTTGCTGGGGTCATTTTCCTTGTCACACAGAGTGACCGTAGAACACCTTGGGGGCAGCGCTGAGCAAAACCCAACGAAGTCCAGCCAGCAAAGCCAGCCCTCGGTTCCCAGCAGACGCCTGCCCTGTGCTGTGTACGCCCACCGCTCCAACCCCTCGCCCTGGGGCCCTGGCTCCCTCCCCCTTATCCTGTCAGCCTGCTCTTGGAAAAGGGTCCGTATTTTCTCCAAACTGAAGTGTACATGATTGTGAGGAGGGTAAAGGATTGTTCTACTTACAGACTCTTGCATCTAGCAGGGATCAGAGTCGAAAGCTAAAGGAATGAAGCTGACAGCGAATTCTAAGCCTAAGATTTCAGCAGGAGCTACACAAGGGATTATCAGCATTCCCATGCGAGGGTACAACCATAAGGACATAATAAAGATGATTTTCTAAAGTTGTTGCTTTAGAAACAACTTGAAGGAGCTGTGAGTTTTCTCCCCAGATGCTTCCTTCTTGTACGCCTAGATCCGGGCAAGCTCAGCCCCACCAGCTCGGGTCCCCTTGGCCTTCGTTGTGTTTGTAGGCACTTTTGGTTGCAGGTGATTAGAATCCCATTCAAACCACCAGATGCCAGGATTGGACGGACTTAAGGGTGAACATGGCTTAGCCATTATGAACACTCGGCCAATTGGCCTGCCCTTCCTCCGGCCGATCCCGGTGTCGGCGATCTCATTACCTCCCACCCCGCCGCAGCTTCAGGGCTGCTCCGACGGCTCTCAGTGTGGGAGCAAAAGCGCTCGCCTCCGCTCTGCCTCAAGTTGCGTCAGAAAGTCCGGGGCAAGGTGCTGACCGGTCAGTAGCGGGGCCAGTGGGTCTCATCAGAGGTGGTCTGGCCACGATCATTTCTGGGACAGCCCCTTAACGAGACATGTGGACCAAGGAGTTGCCGGGGCCCCTGAGGTTTCATGCTCTCCCCTGTAAAATGCGGGAAGTGGAGCCGTGTCTGAAACTCTCCCCACGTTAACCTGATTCTGTTTAAAAATCGCTTCTCCATTGTCAGTCTTCTGACTGCTGTGTCTTTATCTCTGCTGCACGTCCTGCCTCCTGCCTCAAGGTCAGGTGGCCTTGGGAGGCGATAATGATCTCCTTCACTCAACCCTGAGTTTCTCTGAGTGGGGAGAGGGGCAGCGTCCGAGGTGCCCCCCACCTGAAAGAGCAAAGTGTCAAAAATCAGCCTGGACTGGGCGGTACCACTGGTTCCTCTGCAGGATGTAAGACGGTCACTATTTCAAATTCCATGAGGCATCCATCCCCAGTGTAGCATTCTGCCCGAGTGAGAAAGGAAACAGGATTAGGTGGAAGGTCAGCTGGAAATATCCCCTTCTGCCGTTACACCCGGGACATGAAGCAGTGATTATGTAACTGGCTCCAGGTCAGATGCATCCCTGGTTCGGCAGGGCTAAGGTGTAGAAGAGTCTAAGTCATTCATCTGCTTCCACACCGTTGGACACCCATTCTTCCTGTAAATCCCAGACGACGTCTTCTCCGAAAAGCCTCCCGCCTACCAGCAAGTCCATCAGCCCACCCTCTCTAGCACGTGCACACACTTCTGCTGTGGTGGCCTTTGCCCCGTCTGCCTCACTCATCAGACCATCAGTTCACAGGAGGCAAGGGCCAGACTTTAGTCACCCTGGAGTTCCCAGCTATTACACGCATGTGAAGTGCTCAGCGATGTGCGCTGTGTTGACTTCACAAATCACGCTTCTCGAGAAAATGGTGATGGCTTCTATCAACACAGTTTGATTAATGTAAGCTAATGACCAGCTGTGTTAGATGGCAGGGGGCAGCCCAGCCACGGGACTGAAAACTCGCACGAGACAGGGTTGACGCGGTGCATTCCCTCCACGGCTGTCACCAGCCACCACGTCTCAGGACGGGCGTGGCATGCGGGTCTTCAGAGAGCAGTGGCACCTACTGGATACTGCAGGTCCATGAGTGAAAGATACAGATCTGTCGTCTCTCAGGTTGTCTTCTGAACTTTCCTGAGACTTCTGCCATTAGATACACTTTTGTGATAAGATACCACCACCCAGAAAGCCCCTGTGCAAATGTGATGTGTTACCTTGTAGAGGACATTCTCACTGTACACTTGGATTCCTGAAACTCAGAAGCATGTAAGGGCAAATGAGGGTTCATATCACTTGAAAGCAGATTTTTTTTCTTTCTAGATACCTATGACCCGTCTAACCCTCAGTGTAGCCATTTCCAGTTGACAGGGGGGTCCTGGGAGCACAGGCACACGCAAGTGGGTATGCAGGTGACTGGGGAGTGCAGATACCTGGCGTCCCCAGGTTAGGGGACTCACGGGCCTGTGGGTGCCCCGAGGCCTGATGGTAACAGGTTTTAGTTTTGCTGCCAAGGAGGATTCCCTTTCTCCTCCTGCCTCCCAGTATCCTTAGACCCCTTCAGATCACCGGACAGTCCTTGGGTGAATAAGAGAGATGCACACTTAGAGAAAGAAACATAGGCAGGCAGCTTTGCCACCCGCACCCCTGGAGAGAGGAGACACCATTCCGCAGAGCTCAGCAAGTGCTGGGAGCACACTTCAGCTGCCCACGACTTCCTGACGTGGTGAGATTTTCCCATCACTCAGCAGTCGGGCAGGTTTGGATGTCCTGGTTTGCCGCAGCGTCTTCTGTGCTGTAAAACTGTCAGCTGTATTGCAATAACATTTCATGCACACAGCATCTTGGTGGGACTCGTCAGTGAGCAGTCACTACCGTACCGTACCATACCGTACGTGAATTGTTGAATGAACAATGATTAGAAGCCGTAAGGGGTGTACTGGGATCACATTTATGGTGACAGAGGGTGAGCACTCCCCCACACCTGTCCTCGCCGTATGCTGTGTCCACCATGCTGGGCCAGTGGGGTCTTGGAATTCAACTCGATGTGTGTGACCCTGGACAAGTCCTCAGTCCTTCCCAGTCTCAGTCCCCTTGTCTTTCAAACAGTGGTGATGATACCCGCACTGCCGTGTGGGAGGGAGGATGACATGAGGTGGGGAGCAGAGGGGTGCCTGGCACCGGATGCGGCCTGTAGTGTGGGGCGCTGGTGAGTTTCTCTTATCTTTAAGTGACTACGCTGCCCCAAGGGTGTTGGCCAGAGCGGCAGGGCAGTAGCATTTTTACAGTCCTGGGTCTACTCCAAGGCAGGCCCCAGCTCAGCCACCTACCAACCAGCGGTGTGGTTGTGAACTAGGCACTCAGTGCTTCTTTCAAAGCCTCAGTTTTTTCATAGGTAAATGGAATGACATAATATCTGCCTCATAGATCGGAGTGGATTAAGAGAGGGAACATAAATAAAGCGCCTACCCTAGTATCTGGCCCATAGTAGGTACCTTATCAACAGTCACGGTTGTTTGCATCTGTAGTGGAGGGTTAAAGAAAAGAAGCAGAAAGATTATTACAAATCTTGCCTGGTAGGGGGCTCAGTTGGTTGGAGCATCATCCTGTACACCAAAAGGTTGGGGGTTTGAGTCCCGGTCAGGGCGTGTATGGGAGGCAACCAATATACCCTGATGTTTCTCTCTCTGTCTCTCTTTCTCTCTTGCTCTCTCTCTGAAATTAATAGGAACATACCCTTGGGTAAGGATTAAACAAAAAATTTTTGGAAAAAAAATTTGTTAAATCTATTGGATGCCCATGAGTGTCTCCTGATCTTTTCCTGTGTTCTCTGTCCTGGTGAAGATGAGTTCACATGAACAGAGGCGATGGTTAAGTGCCTTCTGCGGGCTAGGTCTGTGGTGAGGCGGCAAATTACCACATCCTTCTTTTCTCTCAGGGCCTCCAGTGGGATATGTCTGTTCTAATTTACTAGGCTTCGAAGAGGCCACGCCACATGCACACTTCCAAATGCATCATTTGCATGAACACTCAAGCTTCCCCTAGATGGGGGAAGCATTCCGCGAGGAGCGGGGGTAGACGTTGGTTCACGCTCATTTGAACTGGTGCCAACCAAATTCCCGTTCATTGTGTCTCAGCGATTTTCTCCTGGAAAAAATAACGCTCGCGCAGACGTCTAGCTGTTGCTTGGGCTTTTTTTCGTTCTTGAGTTTGCATTGCTTATAGTGTTGGTTCAGCAGCAGTCACTTAACATAGGCATCCAGTGGGGCACTCCACCTACCCCAAGCCTCTCTGTCCCCAGCTCCGACCCATCTCCTCCTTGTAGTTCCAAAGATACAAAAGAGAATGGGAGCCCTGGCTAGCATAGCTCAGTGGATTGAGCTCGGGCTGCGAACCAAAGTGTCGCAGGTTCGATTCCCAGTCAGGGCACATGCCTGGGTTGCAGGCCATGACCCCCAGCAACCGCACATTAATGTCTCTCTCTCTCTCTCTCTCTATCTCCCTCCCTTCCCTCTCTAAAAATAAATAAATAAAATCTTAAAAAAAAAAAAAGAAAAGAAAACGGGAGATGCACCTGATGGTAGCTGACTCCCTGGCAAAGCACGCTCAAGGCCTGGGCCGAGAGGGCACGCACAGGGGCTCCCAGCGGCGGGCAGCTGTAAACCGGTGGCTTCTCTGAACGGACGAGGTCAACCCCAGAACATTACGGTCTTCCTCTAATCTACAGGTAATGCAGGTGGTGAAGGAGCAGGTTATGAGAGCTCTGACGACCAAGCCTAGCTCCCTGGACCAGTTCAAGAGCAAGCTGCAGAACCTGAGCTACACCGAGATCCTGAAAATCCGCCAGTCCGAGAGGATGAACCAGGAGGATTTCCAGTCTCGCCCGATTCTGTAAGTCCCCCACCGCCTCCACCACCCCCACCGCCTCACGTCCCTAGTAGGGGCCTCTCTCACAGCGGGGTCCTGTCGGGAACTCTCTGCGGGGGGCCCACAGGGGACTCTCCGAAAGATCTCAGTCCACTCGGGACGTCGGAGCAGCCCCCTGAGGGAGGCTGGGCAGGCGGGGCCGAGGGGCAGGGGTGCACAGGGGCCGGTCGAAGGATCTAAACCAGGAAAGGGCCCAGTTACTGCTGAGCCCTCTAAGGAGCTGTGGCTGAAAATTTGAGGTCCTTTCCTAACGTTGGGAACAACTCTTTTGCCTGTGAAGCTACATACTGTGTAGGTGCCTGTGAGTGACAGGGTGCTCTGGCCCAGCCAGACGGAGGCCCACTGACGATGAAAGCAGGAGCACTGATATAAGCTCTTAAGTAGTGCGTGTGGGCGGGGTGGACCACTGGAGAGGAGGCAAGACCTACTTCGCCCGGCCCCGTCGGCTCTGCTTGGCACCCCATCCTTCTGCTCTTGTGGCTGTCAGCCGGCAGGCCCGAGGCAGAGCGGCCGTGGCCCCCTCCTCAGAGGACTTGGCATCACATCCCACCGGTGACACGTAGAGTTTGATGCGTCGTCACCTTTAAGATGTGTTGAGCCTTGGGCACGGAGACTGGTGTGCTTCATCTGTTCTTAGAACTGGCCTGTTTATCTCTTCTCTTGTCTTTCTGGGAAATAGATCAGTTTTGTTGCCCTTATAAAGTATAAGGAGGAGAATAGGGAAGGGGGTGGAGGGCAGGGACGCTTACTCTCATTCCACCCTCAGACGACTGGACACAGCGTCTTTTCGACGTTTGTGTGAAGCCAGCAACCAACTTGTAACATCAGGCGTCCTTGTGGAGCCCATCGTGAACTTGTCTGTCTGTCTGGCTGTCTCTCTGTTTCTGGTCCTTTTTTTTCCTGCCTCTTTTTCTGTTACTTGCTCTCATATACTTGACGTGTTTAGTGCTTGGCAATTTGCAAAGCACCTCCTTTGGCTCTTCTGTTTCTCCTGTCCCTGCGAGATGCGCAGCTCTTATCTTCACTCAAGGACCGGGATGGAGTCTAGACGGCGGGGCCCTGGTCGGCAAGCGGAAGAACCAGGACTTGAAGTGCAGCCACTAATCGATCCCTCAGCTGAGCTTTGTAGGCCTCACCAGAGTGCCTTTGCCAAATGCCAGATTCAGACGAGGTTTTAAAAGGTGCACCGGTCTGAAGAGACAATAGCCAAGTGATAACATCAGCTCGACATTCGTTTTCAAACCTTAAGAGTCACCTTTAGAAACGGCAGAGCAGAACCACAGGCTCTTGGGGGGCATGAAGTTAGGCAGCGGTGCCAGGAGTCGGGGGGTGGGGGGGGGCTGCCGCCCTCACTGGGCACCAGTCCGCTCTTCCACGGGGCGCTGCTCCAGTTTTACAGGGGTCCTCGGTGACAAGGTGACAGCCAGAAGTACTTAGCAGAAAGCACTTTGGATCAGCGACTGCCTCCTCAGAGCTACAATGTGTCCCCTGCAGGGAGGGACAGCGGTGCCTTGCCCCCGGCCGGGGCCTCCGGGCCTGAGGCCCTGGAGTGTACAACGTCTGCTCCAGCCGCCGGGTCCGCGCAAGGTGACCTTCCTGCGCTTCTGGCTGCAGTTCTTAGAACCTAAAGGGAGACTTGAGGAACCACTTCAGTTAAGGCCAAGTGATTCTACATTAGCATTTGACCGTGACTTTGTTCCAAGGAAGAACGTTCGCTGCCGGTCAAGTGTGACTCCTTTCCTTCTGCGTGGGTGTCATAGCGTGGCTTCCCACGGCTCTGCCTACGACACTGTGAAGTTCTTCTTCCCTTTTTCCCAAGCAGCTCTCGTCTTTACGGTGATGCTGCCAGGAGAAGCAGCGTAAACGTGACGGACACCTCCTGCATGCGTGGCACCTTAAAGCAGCCAGGATTCCCGTTGTAGCTGCATTCAAGTCCTAACGCCTTTTCAGAAGCTACGGCATTGAAGCGGGGAGGGTGCCACAACCTAACTGTTTTCTGGGCCCCTCAGGGCGGGCGGGAGCCAGCCTCCAGCGTCCTCTCTGGTGACGTTTAGTCCGTCAGAATGAGCTGCTGGACAGGGAGCCACTGTGGGGCTGGAGGAAGCCTGAGTGCTGCCCAGCCGGCCCACAGCGTAAACCCACGTCCACACGCTGACCGTGCATGATCGCTTTTATTCCTTCACTTAGCAACGCGTGTTGAGCAGCTCCTACCTGCCGGACCCTGTCCGGGATGCTGGGGACAGGGAGCGGACCGGAGAGACTTGGTCCTGACTGTCGTCCCAGGCTTGAAAGCTGGGGCTGGAGGGGCTGCCAGGGTCTCTGCTCAGGGCCCTGCTGGAGGAGGGGTGTTGGGGGTGGGTTGTCACGAAAGCACAGAGGAGGTACGTCTGAGTCAGGTTCGGGGTTATTGGCATTTGAGAGTGGAAACGCACCTTAAGGCCACCCGGTCAAGCTTTTCATTCTGCAGGCTGGGGTAACGGCTTGGCCGCGGCCCCCTCCGGCTGCCTCTGTGCGGTCCCACAGCACGGCGGTCACCCCGGGGCCTTGGAGACCCCAGGAGGCATGCAGCCCATTTTAGAAAATGTTCATGCTTCCTGAGAGTAAAAATGCGAACTCTGTGTGTGCAAATTTTGTGGGAAACATATATTCAGCAGGTCGAAGGATCTCTGTTTTGTGTCTTAGCTCTCGACTAATGATTTCAGAGAGAAGGTGTTATTTTCTACTTAGTAGGACTTTACAGGGAAGCCAAGTCCATCTACATAATTAATCCGAGTTCATGAAAATCAAAGGCTTGAATAATCCAAAAACGGGTCGTTGGACACTATGGGACTTTCGCGGGGGAGGCCATAGGACACCCAGCAGGGAAGACACTTCGCAGTGGAGTGTGGCCACCCGGGCCCGGAGCTCGCAGACCCGGGCTGCATTCCAAGGCCACCGCTTGCAGATGTGCTCTTTGAGGGCCTCCCGTGCCCCATCCTCAGCCTGTTTTCTTCACAGCTGTACATGAAGGTGATACAAGCATCTCCATCACGGGGTTGTCCCTGGGAGTCAACAGGGTTGTGTCTGAAAAGGACTTAGCGTATTTAGCATGTACCTGACATACGACAGCCACTCAGAGAAATGGCCGCTCTGATTATTAGCCCATAACCCGAACTTTTTACAAGCTGTCGCACTGTTCACACGCACGTGGCAATGCCGACACTGGGCGTGTATTTGTGCGGGCCTCGCCTAGTCTCAGGGAGCCCCGTGGGAGCCGGCAAGGAAGTGAAGTGAAAACAACCAGGGCCAAGGACAGGGCTGTGGGTGCCCCAGCCCCGCGCTTCACCGCAGGCGGGCCGCGGGCTGTGCTCCAGGTGTTGCCCAGCCGGTGCCAGCGGGCCAGGCTGGTCCCTTACACAATTTTCAGTGTTTGGTGCACTTGACAAAGACCCAGCACAGGGACCTGCCCCATGCCAGGTACTACTCTGGCGTGTGAAGAGAACAGTGAATTCAGCAGTGGAGAGAACAGACCCAGTTCTCACCCCCGCTGTGATTGTATTTTAGTGGGAGAAGCAGACAAGACACAAGGTAAATAGATTATAGCACATTTTTTAGAAAGAGATGGGCAGTGGAAATGCAAAGCTGCATAAGGGAAATGGAGACTGTATCGTCTTAAATGAGACGGCCGGAGCCCGTCCCTCTGGTCCAGGGGGTGACCGCGGAGGAAAGCCGTGGGAGGGGCGAGGGGAGTGTGCACTGTGTGTACCTGGGAGAAGGGTGCTCCGGCAGAGAGAGCCCCGGTGAGAAGGCCCCGAGGGAGGAGCAGGCCAGGTGCCCCATAGACAAAGGAGGCCAGTGCGGCTGGAGCAGCAGGAGCCAAGGGCAGAACCCTCAGAGGCAAGGCCAGCCAGGGGCCTGGGCGCCTAGTCATGTAGGGCCCTGTTGGGGGCCAGTGAGAGAGTTTTGAGCACAAGACTGACGTGCCCTGACTTAGGTTTTAAGCGGTCCCTCTCGTCCCCGTGTTGGGAGGCAAGTTAGGAAGTTATTTCAACAATCCAGGGAAGAGGTGATGAGGAGGAGAGTCCTTACTGCAGATCAGATAGATGTGGAAGGCAGGAAACAACGGTGTGTCCTGGTGGGTTGAATGTGGGGTGCGAGAGAAAGAGGGGAGTCGAGGCTGAGCTCCAGCTCTGGGGCTACACACTAGGAGACGGGGTGGAACGGGTCCAGACGGAGGCCTGGGGAGCTCACCTTCGGACACGTCAGGTGCCCGGCTCCTGGGAGACAGCCAGGCAGACACTTGGGTTGCGGAGTTTGGAGTTCAGCTGAGAAGTCCGGATGAGAAAGGTAAACTTGGGAGTTGTCGGGACGGAACTGGTGTTTAAAGCTGGGACTCGATAATGTGCACAACAGAAGAGACACAAGGACTGAGCTCGGAGGCCTCCCAGCGCAGAGACAGGACAGAGCAGTTTCCCTGAAACGGGTGCAGCCCCTCAGCCGGAAGCCCCCATGGCACCCTTTCACATCCCAGGTCAGCACACTGGTGCTCTGAGGCCCACCCCAGCACACTGCTGTTCTGGTCACTGGAGTTTTCTGGGACCCAGCCACACTGCTCTGTGTACACACTGCTGACTGCTTGCACCTGACCACGCCAGAGTGAAGCCCAGTAGTGGCAGCAGACAGTGTATGGCCCACAAGGCCTGAAATAATTTACTCTCTGGCCTTTTAAGATTTTTATTTATTTATTTATTTATTTATTTATTTATAGAGAGGGAGAAAGAGAGAGAGAGAGAAACATCAATGCGCGGTTGTTGGGGGCCGTGGCCTGCAACCCAAGCACGTGCCCTGACTGGGAATCGAACCTGCGATGCTTTGGTTCGCAGCCTGCGCTCAATCCACTGAGCTATACCAGCCAGGACTCTCTAGCCTTTTTACAGAGCAAGTTTGCCAACTTCTGTTCCAGACGAACCCTGGGGAGCAGCGCGGTAGGGCAGACCTCAGGGCCAGAAGAGGATCTCACCAGCCTAGGATGCTCTCTCTCTGTCTGTCTTCTGTGCACAGCCTGGGCTTGGGATTGTCACGGCGCTAGACTTGGAATGCTCTTCACACTCTCATTTCCGACCTCTTTTAATTGTCCTCCTTTTATTGATTGACCAGACCTTTAGGTAGAACTAGAGGAATATTTATCAAAATAAAGCCAGTGAAACCATGCCTTTTCCCCACCTGGGAACAGAGCACCACGGGAAGACAGGTCACCTGAAGTTCAGAGCAAGTTCAGGGTTATGGATGTGTGAGCCTTGAGTACTGTTGAATAAGGAGTGTTCGGAGAATACAGTGCAAGCAAACCCAGCACTGCCTTGCCCTCCTGCCCCGTGCTTAGGGAGACCTGCTCTCACACTGTCTCCCTTGGGAGTCACTGCAGTTTCCCGGGAAAGATTCTTATTTCCGTTTTACAGGCGAGGAAACCGAGACTTGGAGGGGCTACATGAAAGGCTCCCCTTGGGCAGAGCTGAGACTGAAGTCCTAGTCTTCTGGGCTCTGGGTCTCCGTGCTGAGCAGTACTGCCAGCGCTGCTCTGAGAGCTGTGCTCTGTTCTCCCTGTTCGGCCTCAGCTGGGGCAGCCCTAGCTTTACTAGACTCAACTGCTAGTGAGCTACATGAAATCTCACGGGATTTTAAAAAAATCTCTGCTTTTAAAGGATAGATTTAAAAAACCACTGAATTCTATCATATCTTTATAGCGCAGTGCATCAAAAGCCAAATTACATTATGTTAAACAGGCGCAAATAATGCTTAATTTATGTCACCGTTATCCCAATCTCTGTGGGCCAGAATCCGAGAGGACGCCTGGTTCCCATTTGCAAGCGACAGAACTGAAAGCAGAATGCAGCCCTGTGGCTGGCCCGGGACGCGGTGTGCGCTGTGAAATAGTAACCGTGTCGCGGCCCCGTGTCCCTGTGTGATCAGGTCACAAATGTCGTCTCTCAGTTCCCCTGCGGGGAACGGAGGGAGGGTGCAACCAGAGACTTATTGTCACTGCAGAACTGAGTGGATCTTTGCGTAAGTTTGTATCTGTGGCTTTTCAAAATACGAGAAGAAATTTCTTGGGACACTTTTGTCTAGAAAAACATCCCTGAAGGGGCTAGTGCTTTGGTGGGTATTCTGCAAATGTCAGAAAATCTATAGAGTTATTGTAACAGAGTTATCGACGCCTCATAAATGATTCTCTAAGCAGGGGTGTCCAACCTTTTGGCATCTCTGGGCCACACATTAAATACTTGGCGACACGTAACCACAAACGAATCCATAATGTTTTGCGTAAATGTACCACTTTGTGTTGGGCCCCATTCCCAGCCATCGTGGGCTGCATGCCGCCCGTGGGCCGCGGGGTGGACACCACAGTGTACCTTGGGAGGTGTTGGGATGTTCATGAAAAGAAACAAAAACAAAGCTGCATGCCTCTTAACCCTCTACCCCCGCTCTCAAGACCAGCTGCAGAATATGTGTTTATTTTCACAGGGAGCTCAAGGAGAAGATCCAGCCAGAAATCTTGGAGCTGATCAAACAGCAACGCCTGAACCGCCTGGTGGAAGGGACCTGCTTTAGGAAACTCAACTCCCGGCGAAGGCAAGGTATTGTGCCCGGGGCCACCCCACACCCCGCCAGGGTGGGCCGCAGCCCGCTGCCGGAGGCACAGGGGCGTGGTGCTGGTTCAAGGGTAGGCTGTGCGCCACAGTTCTGGGAAGTTCGGGTGCCCTCTGCATACCCAAGGAGAGCCAGTGTTCAGAATGATCACATCCATGGAGCCGAAGAGCCATTCTGGGCCGTTTAGGGCCATGAATTTGCTGGTTGTGGCTCAACTAGAGCTAACGTGTACTGACTGAGAGCTTACCACGTGCCAGGCTGTGATTTAACGTATGTGAATGCGTTTCATCCTCAAAATAACCCTGTGAAGGGTCTGTTGGGATTGCACGCAGTGTACAGATAAGGAAACTGAGGCAACAGGGGGTTAAGTACGTTGCCCAAAGTCGCCGAAAAATAAGGATCTCCCAGAAGTCTTTGGCCTTCACTTTTAATGACTCCCTGTGCTATCAGGTGAGCTGACACCCGCTGCTGCATTTGACCTTGGAACTTCCAACATTCCTGGACCTTTTTCTCCACCCCCCCACATAAGTAACAGTGAACCAAGGAGCGAGAGAATCCATTTTCATCACCTTGCAAGATAAATTTCTGAATTACCTCTCTAAACTCTTAATTCCAAAATTTCAAGTCAAAACGGGTGCCCTTAGACTAGATCCAAAAGGTAGAACACACTTCCCGCTGTTTCTCAGCCACACAGGTCCAGTCCCTTGATTGCTTTCTCGCTGTCTTGACGTGCTGCTGATTGCAGAGTCACGGTGCTCGCCTCCCACTGCCCTGGAAACAAAGAGATAGAAACTAAAGCTGAACAGCAAGCTTTGGGGAGAGGGGAAGACACAGAGGAGCGGCCAGGAGCAAGCACCAGCATGAGCTCCTGCACCAAGAGTAAACACCCGTCTTGGCTCGGGAGGCACTCTCGCAGGCACTTGTGAGCCGGGATGGGTGTCCCGTCCAAACGCAGGACTCGCCTGCCAATGACAAACATCGTTCAGGGTTATGCTGGGCCCAGCCCCTGACCATTTACCATGAGAGCTTTGGGCTGAATATTGAGTAAATGCACTGATGTCAAATGTTACCGTTAGAAACCACAGTATAGAATTTCCACAGGCAGAACATCCTTGAGGAATGAAAACACAGATTTTTCCTGGAGGATGAGAAGCCATGACAGTGAACTTCAGGCTGGGTCTGCAGAGAGGACAGCGGGCAGAACAATACGGGGCTGAGTTGCAGTGGGACTGAGACAGGCTCACGTTAGGAAGGGTGGCGCAGGAGGGGACCCAGGGCGTCCACGCAGCCATCGGCGGACGAGCGCACTCCCTCCTTACTCGCATGGACGTCTCCGTCAGAGTAGGTGCTGTTCCAAGAAGACAGTGTGGGCACAGTGGCGAGGACAAGACCCCCGGAGCCAGACGAAGTAGCCGAGGTCCTGCCCCTTCCCCCGCAGCTGTGTGACCTTGGGCCGTTCCCCAGCTGAGGCAGGGATCGCCGTGCCCGACCCTAAAATTACCGGGAGGAGAACGGTGATGGTGAATGTCACTCTTGGACACCAACGACAAAGGGTCCTCCCTTCGTTTTGGGAGATCGGTCAGGAAATGCACCCTGGCCTGGGAGTGCACAGACTTGGTTACAGGCTCCTCAGCTCCATAAGTCACCACGTGGACATCCTCAGGGAGATCGTGTGACTTCCCAGGACCACAGCTTCCCATCCGTTAGAAAGCCTAGGCCGACAAGATCTGTGAGTTCTGTGAACCCGACAACCGATCACAGTACGTGCCCTGATGGCTTCGCTGCCTCTGGAAAAACCAGTATTCAGGGTATGTCACCCCATGATGGGATTTATGAAGTTTTTATGTACTTAATGCTGGGCAAAAGGCACAGAAGTGGGGCAAGGGGAGGTGGCACAGACACATGCTGCCGCCAAATGCCTCCCCTGGTGCCCGGCTAGGACCCTCAGAACCAGATTCCGAGAAGTCCGCTGACCCTCACTGCCCGCTTCGCCGCCAGGCTTCCCCTCCCAGGCTGACGTGGGCAGGCTCTGCCAGAGCAGTCCCGTTTCTAAGTGTAATGGCTACAGGTCTCTTGTTTTCGTTTTTGTTTTTCGGTTTTTGTTTGCTAAAGAAATCTTAGTCCCTTATCTGCACATTTTCCCAGTTTTTAAACATGAATTACCTAACGAACAAAAGCCATTAGCATCTAGATTATAAATGTAGCACTCAGCTCCCCAGGGGGCCTGGCCATCTGTGTTTAAAATGAAACCGCCCTTCCTAGTACAGAAAGAAAGGGAGGGAGACTCTGGGGTGTTTGGGAAATGGGGTGGTTTTCAAATCTGGCGACCAGCTCGCCATGCTTCAGACTGTGCTGCAGGTGGTCTCACGTCACCCCACCCGAACACTCCATTCAGATGCACACAGACGAATGAGGACGTGATGCTGTAAGACCCTCTGAATCCCTTTCACGTGCACGAAAGGTGCACTTTCTTTTTTTTCTCTCTAGATTTTATTTATTTATTTTTAGAGAGGGAAGGGAGGGAGAAAGAGAGAGAGAAACATCAATGTGTGGTTGCTGAGGACTGTGGCCCGCAATCCAGGCATGTGCCCTGACTGGGAATCGAACTGCGACACTTTGGTTCACAGCCTGCGCTCAATCCACTGAATTACACCAGCCAGGGCGAAAGGTGCACTTTCCCGTGCAGCTTCTGGCGGCGCAGCCAGGTGCCGTCGCAGGTTGAAGAGGGAGCACATCCCCGAAGGAGCCAGAGGTGTCGAGGGTTCCGCAGCCGCGTTCCACCGTGAAAGGCAGCGGCGGCCTGCAGGGCGGCGGGATGCCCAGGCAAAGCCCCGGACGCGCGTCCTGGCGCACAGCCTGCGAAGCCAGGAGGAGCTGCAAGGCAGAATGACCTTCCCGTCGTCGGTCCCTGCAGCTGTCTTCACCGGACCGAGAGAGAAGTCTTGTGTGTCCTCCTCTGAAAGAGGACGTTTCCCTTTCGGACACCGACATCGCTGGGGTCCCTCGCGTTCGTCGCTCTGGACAGGTTCAGCCTTAGGCAGCAAGTGGACCATCTCCTGAAGCTTCTCCACATTTTGGGCTAACCTCCAAAAGACCCAACATCGTAGAAGTGGCCCCAGAATTGACTGTAGGAAAGGCCACCTCACTGCCTCCCCCAAACGGGGCTCCCAGGGCCCACTGAGTCCACGGCGGGATCGGTCAGGACTCGGTTCCTGCGGTGCCCTGGGCCTCACCGAGCTCCCCGGCATCTCACAGGCAACAGCGGCAGCCACTGCTCAGCTTGGCTGTCCCCCTAACAGCCTGCGCGCGGGCCCATGCTTGTCCCTGGCCTGCCTGATGAAGACAGACACTAAGCTCCGCTGTCTAATACAGCTACCAACGGCCAGGTTCATTAGAATCAAATGAAATTTAAAATTTCTTTTCATCCTCTTGATGAAGCAGACACAGGGTATTTCCATCCTTGCGTGAAGTTCAATCGAACATTACTGCGAGAATTACAGTCGTCGGCGGCGATTAGCTCCACGATGATCTATGCGACGTTGGGAATGGCTTTAATCAGCCCTGGAGACCTTCTTCCCAGGCTGGTGAATTCTGAAAGTAGCTCTTCCCTCTGGTCCTTCAGAGAGAGAGACGGACAGACAGACAGACAGACAGACAGCCACAAAATTGTCCCCATACTTTTTATTTTTGAGACCGGGACTGAAGAGCCGGCTGCTGGTGCGCTAACCCCCTAATTGACTGGAAGGCCTCTCTATTAACTCCTGCTTTCTCTGGAATGCTGGCAAACAGTCTGTGATAATGTGCTCGCTGCTTCTTGCTAATTACTTGCAGTGACAAAATCCACTCATTCGTTGCCCAGAGGGATTGAGGCACTAGTAACTTCATGCTGGGTTTTGAAAAGAAAATACGCATTTTTCTTACCCTAAAAGACACTGAAAATCGAGCTGCGGCTGGTGGCTGACGCCGACCCGGTCTCACCCACGAGTGGGTGCCACGTGGGGCGGCGCTGGCGGCTCTGCTTTTCTTTACAGCCTCTGCCACTTCGGGTCAGACGGACAGAACCGCGCCAGGAGGCCGCTAGTCCTCCCCAGAACTCAGCGCGCCAGCCTCTGTCCTGCGGAAGGTGCCGGCCGAGTGTCAGCACTTGAGACTCAGGAGTCAAAGCAGTCGTCCCAAGGCTTTTCGGTCCCCTTTCCAGCATGTGTCATCCACCCCAGACTTCCTTTCCTGTCTGATGGGGCGGAGGAGACCCCATCACTTGCAGAGAAAGAGGAACTTACTACGGACAAGAGAAGGGTTAGGCAGAGGTCAGAGAAAAACCCGGGGTGGCTGGTGGCATGACGTCACGAGAATGTAAGCCCCCAGGCGGCGGAAGTTCTGTCCGCTGCACGTCAGATGCTGTTACGGCCGGGCTCCGAGTATCCTTCTGTGTTTCCTTCACACGAACATCGACAGCAACGTTGCCTTGGTAACCTGATAAACAGCCACTGTCCTCCGGTAGTTTCTGAAGGTGAGACTGTGTCGCACGAGAGACCCGCTCCATCCCTGCCTTTCCCTGTAGAGCAGGTGGCACTGCCGAGTCCCTGTCCCTACTTCTTCGAGCTGGGCAGCAAAGGTGCCCACGGCCTCTCTCTCGGCGGCCATCCAGAAGGTGAGGGCGGGGGCTCCTTCTCCCTGAGCTCCGAGGTCTCGTCCCTTACTTCTGCCTTCCACCCCAAGGAGTCTCTGCTCTCCCCAGGAGGGTGCTGTGTGCGTCGCAGGCGCTCCGCAGACATTCCGAGGACAAACTTACCTGGAAAATATGTGCAGCAAAAAGGTTTTTGAAGTCTTACAAATGAGCAGAAGTCTCGCACTTCCCTCCAAGCTGTATCCGTTCACAGCACTTACTGCTCCCAGTGCTTCCCCACGTGCGTGAGGAGGGCCGGTCTCCTGGTGCGCCGCATCGACCCTGGGGCCTCGGGTTCCCGCTAGGGGTGAGCTCCGGCCCCCAGAACCCACTCCAGCTTGAGAAGCGAGGACCCCCTAGATGGAACAGGCTACGACATCACTCAGAATAACGCCAGAGTGTCCACCTGTTACAGCTCACTGACTGCCTTCCTGGGTTTCTGTCCTCCTTCACTTGCTCCCTTAGCCAAAGACCCCACCCCCGAGGTGGCGGAGGAAGGGAAGGGCTACGGCCCACCTCTCCCGCCGGCTCTGTGGCCATCACAGGCCGTTTAGGGCAGGTGGGAGTTCCTCCCGGGCAGGAGAAGCCCCTGCGGCCCGTCACGCCGGGACCCGAAAGCGCAGCCCACAGCTGGCGGCTGAGCGGGGGCGGCTCCTTCGGAGTCCGCAGTTCCTGCTGGGGATTGCGGGCCAAGGTCCCGGACCTGTTTGTTTTCCCCGCGGAACACTGGCAGCGACGCGCTTGCCGTGGCTTCAGACGGCCGTGAGTCACTCAGGAGCAGTGTTGTTTTCTCCCCTGGATGTGCTCTTCCAGAAAAAGGATGAGGTATAAACACATATACGTACATAACATCATTTTGAACATGTAGCCAGTCCAGATGTTTCCCTAGCCATTCAGTAACTTTTTCTTTCCCCTCAAAATTTTCTACCCGAGTTCATTTAACATGTTCTCTTAAAGAGATGAATTGCCCCATCCTGACGACATTCAGGAATTCGCAAACCGTATTTATAGGCAGGGAAGACAGAGCCATTGAGACTTTTGTGGATCGAGCTGGAGTGTTGTCTTTGTTCATTGTGCGGCTTTTCCTTCCATTTTTAGACTTTCTTTTTCTATTAAAAGAGTCATAGTTAACACATGCTTTTGCAGTGAAAGCGATTTTAAATAGAAAAACAATTTTCTTAAAACGTTGTGGGGAGTATTTTAGTCAGAGTGGCTTCAGAGCACTGCGTGTTGGCAGACAACAGAAATGGGGTGGTTTCACCAAGGCCCCTGCCTCTGCCGGCTGCAGAGTGGCACAGAGGGGTTACAGGTCACACGCACTTGGTGCCTTAAGTGTTTTACCAAGTCCCCTTCGGTCTTCGTTTGTCATAGGGTGCTTAACTGTGGGCCCCTGTGATCAAAGAGGATGCTGCGGCAGCTAATAGGATGGGGAGAGTCCCTTCGGCTGTAGTAATCAAAGAGGGCTTCCTGGAGGAGGCAGCATCTAAGCTCAACCTTCAGACCTACACAAAGATTGCTGTCACATTGAAGTTTCTTATATATAAAAGTTTCTCTTTGCCTCCTTTTCCCAACCTGACAGGCTTATTCAATAATTTGTATGATGTTTGGGGACAGAGAGGAGGTTAAGTTGAAGGAATTGTTTGTAAGAATGATCCTCGGGCCCTGGTCCTGCCTGTGTAGAGAACCAAACTCTAAGGATTGGACAGGAAATGATGGTGAATGCCCTCACTCTTTGTATAAATCCCTGGATTACTTGGATTATTTCCAGCCCTGTGTCTGTCACTCGCATCCGGACAATCCGTTCATTGATTGACTTGTGATATCAGCCTCTGGGGTCGGAGGTTTGGTGTGCCAACTAAGACACGTCACACAGCTGTCCCAACCGGCTCAACGTCTCAACGAGGAAGCGGAAGCAGCAAAGTGTCGAGAAAGCTGCTGGCTCTGCGCCTCGCTCCCTGTCTCTCTCAGGCTTGTATGGACCAGGAATAAACCCCGCAGTTGCTATAGAAACTGGTAAATAGCCCTGTGGAGGCCACCACCTCAGAAAACCTGTTGCCATCGTCTTAGAAGGATTTGAGGCCTTTCCCAGCCATTCTCGAATGTATGTTCAGCAGGTCAGGTGCTGACCGACCATCAAAATCAGAGGGGACTCGCTGATCGGGGCTCCGGACCCCATTCCCTTCTGAAGACTTCCAGTCGGGTGGATGGCTTGTTCTTCCAGGCCATCCTGTTAGGAAATAAGGATGCCAGTGTTTTTGGAAACCAGAATTACTTACCTTGTACCTGTGTGTTTTCTTCCACAGACAAGTTTTGGTATTGCCGGCTCTCCCCAAACCACAAGGTCCTGCACTACGGAGACCTGGAAGAAAGTCCTCAGGGGGAAGTACCGCACGATTCCTTGCAGGACAAACGTAAGTGGCCACCCCGGGCGGGAGGCCCGAGCTGGGGTTGCCTGATCGTGTCCTGGTCACTAAATGTCATGCAGAAGGACCGTTCCCCTACAGAAAGCCACCAGGTGTGTCTCATCTCGTCGTGAGTCCCGGCTTGAACAGTCTCGAGATCCCTCCCCACATTTGCGTCTCATAGTTGAGCGTGCCCCATAGTTGGAATGCAGCGCTAATGGCAGACCCAAATAGGGCCGCCTACTTCAAGGACATAATGCAGGCACTCGGGAAATTTAGGATGAACTACATTTTATTTTTTCTACATGTTGCCTGAAATACATATTATTTGCTATTTTTGTACAATGTCTGTTTCAATATACGTATTTTGAAGAACCAGGAATATGATAGATTATTTTAGTCCAACACCAAACCAGGTTCCACATTATTTATTCGTTTCTTTATTTATTTGATGTCAGACTCTGTGTGTGTGTACAGAGAGAGAGAGAAACCTGGCTGTGTTGTTCCACTCACTGATGCACTCAGTGGTTGATTTTTGTATGTGCCCTCACCTGGGATTGAACCTGCAACGTTGGTGCAACAGGACAAAGCTCTCACCAACTGAGCTACCCGGCCAGGCCCTGTTTGAATGTGTATATTTTGGAGAACCAGTAACGTACTAGATTATTTTAGCCCAACACCAAACCAGTTTCCAAGTTTTTTAGACAGCATGAAGTATACACAGTAAACCAGGTATTATAGAAACATGAAAATACAAAGGCCGTGAATTAATTTGGAAGAGAAATTGCAAGAAATGAACACAGCCTCAGAAGATATCCCGGGTAGAGAAATCAAAGAGTGAGAAAACTAGAGACAGTTTTAAATAACCTTTAAAAGTCGCAGCAACCCTGCGGTGAGTCACAAACGTGTGTCCCAGATGAGACCTTGCCCCCAAGTCCCGACGCCCTCCCTCTTGTCACCCCAGGGCCCATGGAAGTCCAATGGGGACTGTCTTCCTTGACGCTCGTGCCATCAGGAGCGAAAATAAACCACGAGTGGAAAATTCCTCCCACACCCAGACTCTGCTGATCTGTCTCAGACAGACAGCCTGGAACAGTCTCTCTTCCTCCCTCTTAAAAATGGGGCAGCCGGGCTCTGTGGTGTCACTGCGTCCAGGCAGCAGCCTCCTGTCCCGGGAGCACGGCCCCCCCAGCGCTGGTGACTGACACTGCTAACGGGGCGAGAAGAAAGTGGAAGCCCGCCGCCACCGAGGCTGGGGCGGTGTCCGCACATCCCCACAGGGGGCATCCCAGGGCCCTGCCCGCAAGGAGGGCCCCCCTTCGGGTCTCAGGGAGCATGCCCTACCCCGCACCATGAACAGGCCAGATCACTGCTTCTCAGAGACTGGGTCTCGGACCAGCAGCATCGCCTGGGACCTTGTGGGAAATGCAGGTTCCTGGGCCTCGCCTCTGGGCCTGCTGACTCAGAAGCTCTGGGGAGGGGGCAGCAGTCTCTGTCCGAACGGGCCCCCCAGGCACCGCTGACGCTCGGTCACAGGGAGAACCGCGGCTGCCTCCTGCCATGTGCTCTTCACGGAGGCTCTTCAGATTTACCTTTCCCCCGGAAGTCCAAGCTTAAATGAACAGCAACGGTGAATCGGTAGTGGCTTACCAGCTTTTATTTGGGTAAACAAGGGTATTGAAAATAACATATAACTAAAACTTTGTATGACAGTACTTTCATTTTTAAAAAGCATTATTCTGGCCAGGTGGCTCAGTTGTTTGGAGCATCATCCCACTCACCAAAAAGATTGTGGGTTCAGTCCCTGGTCAGGGCACATACGTAGGTTGCAGATTCAATCCCCTGTAGGGGCACGTATGGGAGGGAACTGATTGATCTCTCTCTCTCTCAAATTAATTAATATATATTCTTAGGTGAGGATTTTTTTTTAAAAAAGTAGGACTTTGGATCACATCACAATAAACAGTAAGAAAGACCTAATCTTGGAATGAGGAGTAGTCCCTCCTATGGAACTAAATTAGCTTCATTAACCACTCACAGCCGTGTTTCCGTCTTCCTCTGCTTTCTGCCGGGTGAAAACCCCCTCGGGAACTCGGGGCTGCCCAGGGCCAGCGCCCCGGAATCAGCCCCACGGCGCTGAGATGAGGAGTCACGGCCGACCCTTGGCCGCCGCAGCCACAGCAAACGCTGCACGGAGTCCCCCGCAGCCTCGTGCCTCGCCTGCGCAAGAGACAGGGAAAGCGGTCCAGGCAGAAAACAGACAGACAGACAGACAGCTGATTTGCTCCTCCCCCACGTGGCCTGACGAATCATCTCTTCCACTCACAGGACAAAGTATTCATCTCCGCGCAGACAGGGACGGAACCCACGGCTCAGCGCACAGACAGGCACTTGCTTGGCGCTGACGGCAGGTTCCGTGTGCGCGCTCCCTTGCCCGCGGGTCCGTCGCTGAGGAAGTGGGTCAGAGAAGGTCACGGCGTGGACAGCGCCGGAGCCTCGGCAGGGGCACTTGCTGGCATTGCCCGCAAACGGATGCCCGCACCCTAGCTCTACCAAGGCCCTTACCCACAAAAGCGCAGGGCGACGGTCACTGGCTGGAAGCCAGGAATGCTTCCACCAGGGCGGTGGCGGAGCACGGCCGAGCTGCAGACCTCCCAGCGGCTGCTGGCGGGGGCCCGTGAGCGGCGCCACTTCTGGGCAGGGGCTGCAGCCGCCCCCTCCACCAGCGGTTCGAAATTCTTGCCCACCCCTTTCCCTCCCACATTTACATCTGGTCATGCGGAGTTTGGAAGAGCTGCTACCTAACAGTTGACCCACTGCAGTCAAAATCAAAAACCCATACTCGTGCAGGTATGTGCACACGTGTGTGGGCGACATTACATCTGTGTGCACGTGTGTCCCGGACAGGGGGTGTCTTTGTGCAATGAAGTCAAACGAAGCCATTATGCACCTGAGCTGAGCAGGGCCCTGGCCCAGGCACCTAAGTTTGCCGCCTCAGGCCGGCTACCTGGTTTGCCCGCCGTTGCAATGATACATTCCGCCTGGAGCAGATGGCCCGTTCTCTGGGAGCCCTTGGAAGTCAGAAACTTCAATCCACCAGAAAAATGAGTCATGTCTTTAATTAATGTCAAGTGCCATTGCTCTTGCCTGGTCTGATTGCCCTCTCTTGAGACCAAGGGGGAAATTGCCTTCTGCCCCTTCAGCTAATGAGTGCTGACTGCGGAGATATCAATGAATCCAACGGCGTAATTGAATCCTCTTCCTGCAGAAGAGTGCGAGTGAAGACGGCCGGCCGGACGCCCTCTAGCTGTCTTCGTCCCTAAGGTGGAGGAAATCACTCTTCTTCCATTTGCTTTGTTTGACAGGAAATAAGGCCCTTAAAGATGCATATCCCCTTCCATCCCCTCGCCCCACGGCCCTCCCGCTAGGTTGACAAGCCCCACACCCCCACTAAACACGAGGCTCTAGTGCTTTCCAGCCCTGGGCCCCTCCCCCGCCAGTGCCTGCTTGCGAGAGGATGCAGGCCAGCACGCCCCACGCTGACATCAAAGACATGGCGGAGAGGGCTCACCCCGACACGGGCCATGAAGCCTGTTAGAGAGAATGAGAAGGGCAGCGAGACAGCAGAGGAAAGCAGACGAGTCGGTCAGTGGCATGTGGTGAAGAATTCAGGTCCCCCAGTCGACGCAGAGAACCAACTTTGGTTATTGGTCATGAGAACATCTCCAAATAACATTCATTGAGTGCTTACCATATGCCAGGCGCCGTGCTGAGAACTTGCCATTCATTATCCTCTTGACAACCCGGAGTGGTAGATCCTGTTGTCCTTGTCTTACAGAGAAGAAAACCGAGCTACAGAAAAATTAAGTGACTTGTTCAAGGTCACAGGGCTAGTAAATGGTAGGACAAAGATCTGAAGGCCACCCCCCCACTTCGAGGACCAGCTTCTGACCCACTCACCCCCTACTCCACACTGCCTCGATTAAAAGCCAACAATTATCTCGGCTCCGACATCAGGCGTTAATTCTTGGAGCAGCGCTCTGAGATGGACGATGGTAGAATCCCACATCGCAGGCCAGGAAGCTCCGGCTCCCAGAGCGTTGGCCCAAAGTGGGATAGCCCGTCGGTGTGTCCAGGTGTCAACCCAGGCTCTGTGACCCCACAGGCACAGCCCTTGCCACCACCGCTCCCTGCTGCCAGCTGAGAGGGCGGACCCTTCACCTCCATGCGCCAGCCCCGGCCTGCGCCGCCGCCACCGCCGCTGCTCCCGCGTGAGCTGTGTTCACAGCAAGTGCTCACGGCTTCCCAGCTACTTCCTGGGCTTATTTCTGCCTCAACTTAGCTCCCAGTGGTGAAAACGAAAACTGCTTTTATCACAGGGGCCATATTTACTTTTTCAATGGGATTTTTATTTTAAATCATCATTGGTGAGCAGGAGGAGAAGCCATGACCTACCGAGGGAGCATGGAGTGGAGCGGAGAGCAATAGTCCTCCTGTACGACCTTCAATAATGCATTTCCTCTTCAGGTCTCAGTCTTCCCATCTGTGTAATGGGAGTGTTGAATTGGCTCATCTCAAGCAGCTCAAAGTGAAGGAAGCATAGAAAGAAACGAAGCCCTGACTGAAGAATTTAGAGTTGAGGGCAGGGTACCAGAAGTGACCACCCTGTTCTCGTATCTCTGGGTCCCACTTCTTTATGCGTCCCCCTCAAAAGACCCTGGAAACTGTCGCCTGGCCTTGACATAGTCAGGAGTCAGGAGCCCTCTGCTGCCTCCTTAGGGTGCAGATTCAAGGGATGTGAGTCCAATTCTTCTCGTGGAAACAGAGAGGGTGGCATTTCAGCCCTCAGACGCCCACTCTTCCTGTGCATCTAGAGGCAAACTATGCAAAGAGCAACCTTTAAAAACCACAGCAGCGTATTTTTAGAATTTTGTGTTTTCCTTTTAGCCATAATCCTGTGAGTAATAGAGCAGCTTGTCTCCTTGACAGGGGACAATGTATATAAAAATATTAAATGCGTGCTGCCACAGACGAGGTGGGGAAGTGCCTCTTCTCCCCTGGAGACTCCGCATCGGAGATCCTGCAGGCTGTGCCCGCAGGAGACTTTCTGCTACTCCTGTCCTGTTGCGCATGACGGCCTTTCAAAGCCAAGGGGTGGCTTGCTATTTATAGACTGTTGACACTCTCAAGTCCATTGACCATGTTACAGATTATACAACAAAGACTTTCTGCTTCCGAGGTTCTTATGACTCAGCCCCCGTCTGAAGCTTCGGAAGGATTTCTGAGCTGTTACATTAATATGTGTCAGACTCACTGCAGTAGCGGACTTTCCATTGAAAAGTAAACCCAGTTTCCCGAGGTGCCTAACTGTCCCCCTTCCTCAGCAGCCAGACAGGCCGCAGGGAGAAGCAGAGCCGATCACCGGTTATGAAAATGGATTTGAGGAGAACTGGAGTTCGCAGTGGTAGTCGCAGTATGTTCAGGAGTCCTAGGGACCAACGACAAGGAGACACCAATTCAAGGGGGTGAGGCAGAGGCAGGCAAGGGGTCCGAGGTGAAGGGTCTGCCACTGCATCGGTACATTCCGCAGCGGGAACAAACACCCCCGAATCTCGGTGGCTTGGGACCACAAGAGTTTGTTTCTCCCTCCTCACATTATGTAACCAGCATGAGTTGTCAAAGGACCGCTCCACACGGCTGCTCGGCCGTTCCATAGCTATGCCATTGGACGGAACCTGGGACCTGTTCAGTTTCTGCCACTGCGGCAAAGTGGCTGGTGGGTGTGGACTTTTCCCTGCCTCAGCCAGTGAAAGAGACTTGCCATTTCCTCTGACATGTCATTGGCCAGAACTAATCCCATGGTCCCAGAGGTTGCTGGGAAGTATAGTCTCCCACATGCCCAGAAAGAAAGGGAAACCAGACATTAGTGAGCACAAGCAATGTCAATCAGAGGGGTGTAGAATCAGGACTGCAAAACCCCAGGGGACCGACAGCTGGGGTGTGTGCGGAGGTTCCCCCAAGAGTGCGCCGCGGCCCTGCTCCTCTCTGGGGTTAGGCAGAGCTCCGGGGGGAGTGTCAACGGGTTTGCGTAAGGTCCCTAACAGGGTTAGGGTGCCTGGGAAATGTGAGCTATACATTGTATAACTTTATCGTCCTCTCAGCGTCTCCCCACAACCCAGGTCCCCAGGAAAAGCATGTGAGCATTAATTATGAAATCGCTCGTCATCTTCATCATTGAGGGAATGATCACTAAGGAAATTGCTGATTGACTACGTAGGAATCCATTACTCAAAGCCTCCGCAGAGCCTGAGTGAGACCTCACGGTCTGCTGTGGGACAGAAGATTCGGAGCCGGAGAGGGACGGGTGACTTCGATTGTTTTTGTTAAGATTTTTTTATTTATTTATTTTTAGAGAGGGAAGGGAGGGAGAGAGAGAGAAAGAGAGGAACATCAATGTGCGGTTGCTGGGGGTCATGGCCTGCAACCCAGGCATGTGCCCTGACTGGGAATCGAACCAGCGACACTTTGGTTCGCAGCCCGAGCTCAATCCACTGAGCTACGCCAGCCAGGGCTTGATTTTTTTTTTAAGTCTCCAAGCCATCCAGCTGCCTTCTCTCTCTCTCCCCCAGATTATTTTAACACAAAGTTTTAAATGCACAAACCTTTCCATCTCTTTTATCTCCCTCCAAGTCCTGAGTAAAACATGAGACAACATCTTCTCCTCTACCTGCACGATAAATACCAGCTACCGTTACCGTATCAGACAGGAATGTTCCCTTCCTTGGCGTTCAGTGTCGTTGCCTGTAAAACAGGGATAATGAAACCTGCCTGGAAGAATTGTTGTGGGGAATAGCGAGGTGGCAGAGAGGGAGGATGACCGAGTTCGGGACGACTGAGATTCAAATGCATTTTCTGGGATGAGGCTGCTCTTCCTGCTTGTCCTAAACTCAGAAACGAAATAGGTGTAGCCAGTTCAGGAGCTACTGATACAAGGGAAGCCCTTAGCGTTGCTCCTGGCACACGGCGTCTTCCAGAATAGCAGTATTGTAACCACCATGACTATTATTACGGCTTCCTCTAATACCGTCACTTTTCACATGGCTGTGTCGGGGGTTTTACAGTTATTTGTTTCAGTGAACCAGATGCTGCTTATCAACATAGATTTTCCTCCCCAGGGTTGCTTTTGGCCAGAATATAAGAATATAGTTTAGTGTCGAGTCCTGGCACACTACCCGACTTCTCTTCCTCGTTTGAACTCTTTTCTCCTCTGCCGCCGTTTCTGGGGACGGCAGCTTGCTGGCAGACTTGATGGTTAGTGCTTCTTCTTCGTCGACAGCTCATACGTGGTGAAGTTACTTTTGCTTTCTTTTCTCAATTCCAGTGCCGGTGGCAGACATCAAAGCGGTGGTGACGGGAAAGGACTGTCCTCATATGAAAGAGAAAGGTGCCCTTAAACAGAACAAGGTACGGTTTCTGATTACTGCGAAGAGACGCTTCTGTCGGGGCAATGCAGGCGGCGGGGGCCAGCCTTCCTTCCTGGGCAGCAATGCTTGTGTGCGTGGCTGTACGCGTGTTTCCCTCCCTGATGCCTTTCACATCTCTCAGCTTTGCTTTCCCTCCGTTGGCCATGCATTCAGCCCCTACCATGTCCTCCGTTCCCCGACTCCCTGTCCAGTTCCAGCCCCAGGAACTGCCTGCTCACTGTTCTGGCCCAGTCTCCTCCCCCCCCCCCCCCCGCGCTCAGCCCCACGCATTCCTAACCCTAACCCTAACCCCTAACCTCCCACTTGCGTTTACATTGCCCCTCCCCCAACTCCCACCCCAGGCTACTTCACCCTCTCCTGTGGCTCTCACCTTCCCAGGAGCCTCCATGGGGTCTCCGTGAAGCCCAGGAAAAGCAGAGACCAAGTGATTCAGAAAGTTTTTTAGAAAATGTTTCAGGCCCTGGTATATACCATCCTTCAGCATGGTGGAAAGTGCTGTGCAATGGCTCAAACCCAGCGTAGAGGAGAAAATTCCCCCCGACGTACATTGCTTAGACCCCCTTCGCACTAGTTTCCACCCTCCCCTCCCAGCTGACCACCGGGCTGTTCACCGCGACAGCCCATGTGCTGCACCAGAGGGTGTGCAGGGGCTTCCTCTGGAAGGACGGGCCCCAGTGCGGACGCATTTGCCCTTGGAGGGGCCACGGGAGAGCCAGTTCTCAGTTCATCCCTCTTGGCGTCTCGTGACATGTGATAGCCATCCACGAATAAAATCACCCAGATTGATCTGGGTGCACCAGCCGCCTTGGTCCCCAAAACATCCCAGAAATCAATTAAGTTGCTTTCTTTTATTTCCAGTGTCAGTATCTAAGAGGAATATAAGCATTATACACAGGTTCCTTACCAACCAGGGTTCAAGGGACCACTCCCTGCCCTGTCATCTCGAACACTGTAGCGACAGCGGGGAACCCAGGTCTGCGGGGGTGACCCTGTGTCCACGGTGAGGGGACATGGAAGCACCGGAACGTGCTGGTGAGGACGACAACGGGGAGTGGGTACAGCCCAGGGGCTGATAGCAAGACCTTTGCGTCTCCAGCTACGTAAGGACAGCTCACGTCAAGTCCACGTGAACTCCTTCTTTGTCAGGCCTGTCACGCCCCTGTCATGTGATGCCTTAACTGACGAGCGTAATGACACAAGGGCATGCCCAGGAGTGTGTGCGCGCCCCGCCCCCCACGACCCAGCACTTCCCCTTTTGCCCTGGTGGGGGAAGTGGGGTCCTCCAGCTCGTCAGGGCTCGGAGAAGCGTTCTGCCCGCGGCAGCGAGTCTCCAGCCTGTGTGATCGGCCTCCCGTGGGGTGGCTCTGCTTCAACACCCAACGCCCCCCGATCTGCAGAGCGCAGTCCTGGGGGCACGGGCTCCGCGCCACTCCAGCTGAGGTCCCCGCGGTTCTATAGCCCTCGCAGCGGAGCAGGAGATGCCGTGGGGACATGGGCAGCAACCAGAGAAGGCCGGGAGGGGTGTCATTGGAGAGTGGGGCAGCCCGCCGGGGTTCAAGTGCTCTGAGCAGGGACAGAGAGAATTATGTAAAACAGGTGTGGGGGCACCCCTAGTTTCAGCCCCAACATGGAAAGAGGTTGGGAATTGTCACTCGTGTCCTTCCAGTGAAAAGAAACTGAGTCAAGTGAAAAATCAGTCATGTTCTTGGGCCTGCCAGGAAGCTCAGGTCTCGGGGCGCACCACCACCCTGGAATCCTGGAGCGTCGGGTGCGTCCAGCGAGCCCCAGCCACATCTGCTCGTCCGGAGCGGAATCCGTGGGAGCCGTGAGCTATCGGATAGCTGAAGTGGTAATCCTGATAAACTGCTGTGGGCTGAGTGTGGTGGGCCCGTGTGAGAATGAGAAGCTCTAGGAGGTCGCAGTCGTGGGGGCACACTTCCATGGGCATTGCCTCCAGAGAGCCTAGCAAACTCTCCCATCGAACGTCTGAGAAAGATCCCCTCCCTCCAGGTGGCTCTGGCACGAGACATGGATGAGTCATCATGATACGTGCCAGCGCCTTCTCATAACCAAGTCCTGTTCTCCAGACCTTGCCCCCAGCCAGGGGGAGAGAACGTCCACCATTTAATCCCACTGAGCCTTCCCGTCTCAGCAGCAGGGTTGGGAGGTAGGAGAGACATAGTCAACAGCAGCCAAAGCCTCAAGGAGATGCACAGGAGACTCTGCAGCCATGGGAAAAGGGAGGAGGTGAGGGGGTGGGGGGTGCTCGACCACTGGAGAAGCAATTGGGAAGGTGACAACCACAGGATACACGACCCCGAAAAGAAGGAGATGCAATTGGAAGATTACAGAATGTTATTCCTCGCCCATATCCCACACCAACAAGACCAAAGTAGTGGAGTGGAGTGGAGAGACCTGCAAGACGCAGACTCTGTCTTGAGGAGGAGGACTTGGGAATCCAACGTCAGCAGAAGAGACAAAAACGGATACACTGGGGGAATTTGAAGCTTCTGACACTTACAGCTACATCAGTAGCCCAATAGCCCAATTCTTTGCCAGATTAACATAAATTGTCACTCTGAAGGTCCGTGTATCTCCTTTTCTATTACCTGAAACAACATGTCTGGATTTCAGCAAAAAGTTACAGGCATACCAAAAAAAAACAAAAAAAAACGGCCTGAAGAAACAAATCAGTTATCGTAACCAGACTCCAATATGTTGGGCACAGATGTTGGAACGATCAGATAGAAAATTTAGAATAACTACAATTAAAAGTGTTACAGGTTCTAATGGAAGAAGTAGATCACGTGAAAGAACAGCTGGGTAATGGGGTCATAGAAAGGAACACTCCAGACATGAATCAGAAAGAAAGACTATAAATGAAGAACACTGAAACAGAAGTGAAGAATGCTTTTCACTGACTCAGTAGACTTGGCACGTCTGAGGAAGGGGTTAGTGAGCTTGAAGATGAGTCAACAGAAACTCCCTAAACTGAAATGCAAAGAGGGAAAAAAATGAAAAAAAAAAATAGAGCATCAAAGAACTGAGGCACAATTGCAGAGGGTATAACATATAAATAATCGGGCGACAAGAGAAAAAGAGAATGGAGCAGAAGAAATATTAGAGCAATAATGGACAGGAAGTTACCAAAATTAATGACAGACACCAAACCACAGATTCAGGAAGCTTAGAGGACACCCAGCCGAATAACCACCTCCCCCCTAAAAAAACCACCTAGGCATATCACATTTCAACTGCAGAAAACCAAAGACAAAAAGAAAATCTTGAAGAACAAAGATAAAAATTAAAGTGGGTTTCTCATCAGATACTATGTAAACAGGAAGAAAGTAGTGAAATATTTAGTGCCGGAGGAAGAACCCCACCAACTAGAATTCTTTATCTAGTGAAACTGTCCTTCGAAAGTGAAAGAGAAATAGACTTTTCAGATAAAAAAAAACCTGAGGTAATTCATTGTCAGCAAAATTATAGAGGTGAGAGACTTGGATCCCACAAAAGGGACAGAAGAACTTCAGAGAAGGAATAAATGAAGGTAAAATAAAAATACTTACACTTTTGTTGTGAATCCATCTAAAAGATAACTTTGTTAAAAGTAACGCTAGTAACAATGTGTTACATGATTATAGCATACGGATAGTAAAATGAACAACAGCAAAGTCACAAGGGACAGGAGACAGGATTTGGGATACTGAAAACAGGGAAAGGCAAACAGGAAAAGGAAAAGGAAGGAAGGAAGAAAAAAAGAACAAATGCAACGATGAGAAAAGAGTTATAAACATAGCAGCCATTAACTATGTCAGTAATCATTTTAAATGTCGAAGGTCTACATACACCAATTAAAAGACAGATTGTCAGAGAAGATTTAAAAAAAGACCCGAGTCTATGTTTTGTACAAAAAAAATTAAACAATTCCAAATATAAAGACTAAGAGAGGTAAAAAAATGAATGGACAACAATAGCGAAATATATAAGGCAAAACTAATAGCACTGAAAGGAGAAATCCACAAATCCATTATTATTCCAGAGGCAGCACTACCCCCCCACCCCCGTCAGTAACTGGCAGATCAAACAGGCAGAAAACCAATAAGGGTATTGATGACCTGAACAGCAGCATTAATCAACTTGATCTAATTAACAATAGAAGATCCACCCAACAACAGCAGGATACGCATTCTTCTTAAGCTCCCAGGAAATGTTCACCGATGTAGACAGCATTCTGGTACATAAAATACATCATAACACATTTAATAGAATAATAAGCACACAAAGTAGTTTCTCAGATCACGGTAGAATAAATAAATCAGTAACAGAAAGATAGCTATAAAGTCCTTTCAAATATTTGGAAATTTAATAATATACTTCTAAGTAATTCTTAGCTCAAAAGGAAGTCTCAGAAGAAATGACAAAATGTTACAAACTAATTAAAATGAAAGTATAACTTATCAAAATATGTGGCATGGGGCAAAAGCAGTGTTTGGGGGAAGTTTGTGGTATTAAATTTATGTATTAGAAAACAAGAAAGATTTAAACATCAATGAAGTGTTCACCTTAGGAAAGCACAGCAAGTTAAGCCAAAAGCATGCAGAAAAGAAGAAATAATACATAATTAAAGTACAAATCACTGCAATTGAGAAGAAGAAAAACAGTAGAGAAAATTGACAAAACCAGAACTTGGTTCATGGAAAAGGTGAATAAAACTGATAAGCTTCTAGCCTGACCAAACAAGAGAAAATGAGACGAGGCAGTTCCCAGCATCACAGCGGGAACGGAGGGGATGTCACACGGGCATACGGTACGTGTGGGTAGGTTCGGCCTCTTGTGTCAGACTCCTCTGCTCCCGGAAGAGATCAACAAAACAAACAAGTAAATGACATTGCCCAACCTTCTTTTTTTTAATTTAGATTATTTTATTGTTGTTCAGTTACAGTTGTCTATATTTTCTCTTCACCCCTTCCCTCCACC